GGGCAATCACTTTTTCACACAGGGCCATGTAGGTTTGGATTTTTTTTTCCCCTTAATAATAACCTTCATTTAAAAACTGCATTCTGTGTTTACTTGTGTTATCTTTGTCTAATATTTTCTTAAAAAATAAGAAATCAGGAAGAGGGCAAACACTTTTTCACACAACCGTATACATGTGTATATATACACACACGTGAACATAAACCTATAAACAACAATGGCATTGAGGTGATAGTGCAAGCGGTGGTAGTAGTGCAGTAGGACTTATTTATTGTTCAGAGTGACGGCCAGTGGAAAGAAGCTGTTCCTGTGTCTGGTGGTTTTGGCGTACAGTGCTCTGTAGCGCCAACCAGAGGGGAGGAGTTGGAACAGCTTATGTCCAGGGTGTGATGGGCCTGCAGTGATCACAGCATCATTAACTAGCGTTAACACTTCTATGCTACACTAGCTACTGAAGGTATACTGAATGCATTCACAATGTTGCTGAATAAAAACCTACCCCGTTTTACAGGAACAGGGTTGTTCCTTCATTTCCTTCTGTCTGGATCACCAAGTGATGTGGTGATTCGCATTTACACTGTGATCTGTAGCTTTAACCTGTTTTCACTGCTGAATCAGTTCGACATCCTGGATATATCCGTTGTCTGTCTGTTGATCCTACCTCAATGAGTGCAGTTTGAGACAGTGTGGGGTGGGGCTTAGCAACGGTCATTTAGCTTTTTTTTCAAGCTGTGAATCACTTACTGGAGGCCAGTTTCTCCACCCTTTATATTATCAGTAGACTAATGTGAACAGAAATGGGCTCTGTGAAGTCCTTACCTCCTTCAGGCCGTTGTAAGGCCCCAGGGCTGACACCGTGTTGCCCTGAACCATCACATAGCAGTTGGTCAACAACTCTAATGCCTGGAGAAAAGGGAAAGCAAAGTAAAGCATTTCACTTGTGACTTAAAAAGAAAGGATCTGTTAACAGTAACAACGATAGTCAAAATGTGTGGCTGCAATGCCACCTAGTGACATTTTCCCCAAAATACACCGTTGTGGCCCTAGACCAGGGGTCAGCAACTCGCAGCTCCGGATCAGCATGCGACTCTTCAGCCCCTCTGTTGCAGCTCCCCGAGTCTACATCCACACAAATATGTTTTCGTTTTAAACTGAGTTTTAACAAACAAAAACGATCTCTGTCCACACAGCGTTTTCAGCATCGCTTTCGAGATGATCTCCGTCCACTAACGCCTGAAAACGAATATCACGTGACTATTCACGTACACTGGGCATGCGGTTGGGTGCTGGTGTGAACAGGAAGTAGATTGCTTAGTTTAAAAAAAAACACGAGTAATAAAGTAGTATTTAAGAATTAAAGGTCGTGTTTGATACTTAAGATTTTCCTCTATAAACTCACATTTCATGGAAAGTTTTAGAAGTTATATTTTTCAGACTTGGTTACAGTGCTGCGGGTCTTGCTCTCACATCAAATTTACTTTAAAATTAACACTTACACATAAAAGTTTACTAAATTATGGGTCCATAAATGTGGTCAACACACGTCTCACTCGTTTCCTCAGTTTTGTTGTTGTCTGTTCTCACTCGTAGCTCTGCTGGTGTCTGAAGTCTCTGTCCTACTGGAGAGCAATCAATGTTTTGTTCCTTTATAGTTTATGTGTGGACTTCACAATAGTTAAGAAATAATAACAATAAACAATAAGAAGAAGAGGAAAGTCCTCCGTTTTGTGTCCATCCTCCTCAAAGCCGCTAACCGTGACTTCAGACGTCCGCTCGGTAGGGCTGATAATGCTGCTGGTCACGCCGCTTCAATAACAGCTGCTTCCTCCACAAAAATGCAGACTTTAACTGCACAACAGCTGCTAGTAAAGACATCAAGGTCAGCAACACCTGTAATCAGTTGTCCATGTTAAACTAACCTGGTACTCGATCGATAATCAAGACCGTTTGTGATCTTCCGGGAAACGGTCACGTGTTAGGGGCGTGACGAATCAGGGAAGGACATGTCGTGACTGCTAAGAACCAATCAAGTAGTGAACAAGAACGTTTCCAAACGCATCCGTTTACGCCATCCACACGACAAAGCAACCCCGGAGTTTTCAGACTTATCCGTCCTCGGGAGCGTTTTCAAACATATCCGTTTTAGGTGCTTTGAAAACTCTGGCGTAGTGTGGACGCTCAGTGTAAACCTAGCAAAACATGAGTTTTCAAATGGAAACGTAGTAGTGTGGACATGGCAAAAAACAACATGGAAATAAATAAGTTATTTTTATTGTATTTTTTGCACAGTGGACAATCTTTCAAAGGGAACACTTCTTATCTTGGAGTTTGAGGTGATACCGTCACAGAAAATAGCAATAAAATGTCAAGAATTGTCTTTATTCTTGTTCTATAATTTCATAAATACAACAAACTATAGTTCTTGAATATATAACATAACTATATATAAAACTTTATAAGCTGTGATATCTAATAGCTTTTTTAAGACGCGAGGAAAGGAATCGAGGATGTACAAACTGGGAAATGAGAAAGACCTCAAGTCCAGGGAGCATACTCAGTAAGCAAAACATTGAGGCTTTGTTCACACTGCATTTCAATTCAGACTTTTCCTCCCCTTATATTAAACGGGGTTACCCTTTGACGGAGTAATTGGATCTTCGGTTGAGAAAGAAAAGAATAAATTCTCATAATATTGTGACTTTATTTTCTAGAGTCAACATGCTCAACATGTATATCAGGGAAAAAAAAAAAAAGTATCAGGAGACATTTTTTATATTTATTTCTACAGTAAGTTTTCCAGCACCACAGCCTTCTCTGGCATGACCTGCAACTATTCTAAACTGTAAACACATTAGAGGACATGCTAATTTTATTACTTGTCTTGTAATAAAACAAGACAAGTTAGTCTTCATCTAACCCTGTCTTAGATGGTTTAACTGTGGTGCTTGTTTTTTTTGCTAATTTTACAGATGCCCCTTATCACCCAGTTAAAAGCTCCACCAAGTTTCAAATCGAAACATTTTAACAATCATCAACAATGAAAAGAAAGCAGTATCTCTGAGATAAGAGCTGCTTCCCAGCAGGTGTGAGGTGTGTTTTTGAAAGCTTGATATTAGTGTGGGACTCACTTTTAGGGTGGAGCCCTTGGGGCCAATCAACCGCTGTCTTCGCTTCACAAACCGCTCTCTGTTCCTCACCAGGGTCCCGATTTTGATGATGTCACATGCCATGTCATCCTGTAATATCCGCACTGCCTGGAAGCAAAAAAAAAACAAAAAAAACAGTATGAACAGGGAAGCAAAACGACCGAATACATAAGCATCACTCTTTTGTTTTCTAAAAGCACAAGGAGCAATCTGCAGGAAACAAAATCTACATGTGGCATGTGCCACGAGACAGACAACCCCTAGACGACAGTTTAGACAGTTCGTTACCTGTTCGAACGGGACACTCCTGGCCAGCAGCTTGATGAGATCTCTGGCTCTCACGATAGCGTAAGGGTCGTAAGTTTTCTTTGTGGTGCAAACTGTGATGCTTCCCTCAATTAGGTCCAGAGTGGCTTTGACGTGCTGAGAAGAACAAAAATCCACCTTAGGTAAGATCTGAACACCACCAGGTGTTTAAAACAAAATTGAACTGTTTGGTGCAGGGCTGCAATTCAGCCTGACGGTAATTAAGTAATCCAGCCAAATTAATTTTCATGTGCATACTGAGGGGTCATGTACAGGCTTTAAAATACACATTACTTTTAATACTCATTAATAGTAACATGCATTTTAAAGCCTGTTTTAATTTAGTTAGTTTCAATACGTATCCTACTTTGACAACAAATATCTTCATAAAATCACCCTCCTGCAACCACAATATTATCATCGCTTAAAGTATGAATTGATAATAGATAATTGATTTGAAAATAATCAAAAGAAGAGTAGAATTACTATTAGTTGCAGCTCTGATCAGCACAAAGATGTTTTCTTCTTTATCTCTATATAAATTCTAAGATCCAAAATGGGCAAGAATGGTCATAAAATTACTTCAACTGCCTTGGGCTGCATAGTCCACCTCTTCAAAAACCCTGCTGTTATCTCCCTATGCTTAAGTGACCCATGAAATTTAAATTCTATGTGCATAAATTTGTCATATTTGGTCCAATAACGTTGCGGTCCATTTTCAGCACTTTGTGTGTCTGGAAAAAGCTTGAGCTGACTCGGTGACCTTACTGCATCCCCCAAGGCCTTCTCCACAAGTGGCCAGCACTCTTTCAGGTAGGCTTCTCTGTATTTGGGGAAGAGGGTGGCGAAGCTGCTCTCCTCGAGCAGACCCCGGGGATTGTCGTCTTTGGTGAAAGTCGCCTCTTTCCATCCATCAGGAACAGTCAGGAGTTCAGATTCATCCACTGCATGACGCAGATATCAGAAACATGGAAAGTTTGAAACCTGTTATTTTCCCCCACAGAGAATCCAAATACCATTTCCTCCATTAACATGGAAGAAACGGTCTGTCCAAGATACCAACGTACACATAAAGCACCCTGTCTTGTCGTACTTTGGTTGTTTCAGGAGTGATGCTGCCATTGCTGTAACACACAGGTGTTTAAGTACATGGCAGTAGTGCTTTTCTGTCAAAGATGTTCAGAGGAACATTAAAATATGAGGGGTTCAAAAGAGTAGCCGTAGATGGTAGCTAGCCAACTGTAAGGACCTTCTATACTAGAGGGGTGTTTCATAAAACAGTAGCTAATGTGCAACAACTCGTGTGTTTGCCATGTCTGACCCCAGCAAGAGTATTTGACAGTTTCTCCATGTACAAGCAGAGAACATGGGGATACCTTTTGCTTTGACTTTTAGTTGTTATTTGGGGGATGGTATTAAAGACTTCCAATAAAAAAAAATAAAAAATATTATTTTTCTCTGGTTTTCCGTGGTGTGACGTGAACGCCAACCAGGGGAAATGTGTATAGGTAGCGTTATATCAACAAATGTTTCCAACACACTACGGCTCCCTTGCTAGCTTAAAGCTAATTCATGCGTGCTTCGCAACAGGCATGTGTCCACATCACAAAAAGGCTACAACATTCAGCTCTGCTTCACAGTGAATGGGTCGCTGAGTGTCAAAAATTAGTGTTCAACTCGGCATCATTAATAACTCACCTTGGTGTTTCGTCTTTTTCGATGTTTTCCCTGTTTGTGCTTCACTCAGCACGTCTCCCGTCGTGTAGGACGCCATTGCTGTTGGAGGGTCCGGCTTTTCTTCTTCGTTGGGGTTTAACGGTAGCGTGGACCCTTAGCGTTGCACTACTGCCATCTTCTGGAGTTAGCCAAGTCCTGCAGCGTCAGGTATTTTGCGACCTGCAGTTTGAGAGCTGGTTCACTTCTTGGTCAGAGAGGAAACATTACATTACAGTCATTTAGCAGACGCTTTTATCCAAAGTGACTTACAAGTAAGTGTATTCAACATAGGTTGAATACACTAGAAATCATAAGTGCATCTCCTTTTTTAAACAAGCATCTAAGAGCATAAACCAGAGCAAAAGTACAGTGCAAAAACAAACCAATTCAATAAGTGCAACAAACTAATAAGAATACAATAAGTGCTAAGTGGAAGGCTCAGGGTAGTACTTCTTGAAGAGGCGAGTTTTCAGCCTGCGCCGAAAGATGTCCCGACGTCAGTGGGGAGTTCATGCCACCACTGTGGAGCCAGGACAGAAAAAAGCCGTGACCGGGTCGATTGGCCACAGGGACCTCTGAGCGACAGGGCAACCAATCGCCCCGAGGCAGCAGAGCGGAGTGGTCAGGCGAGGGTGTAGGGCTTGACCATGGCCTGGAGATAGGAAGGAGCGGTTCCTTTCACTGCCCTGTAGGCTAGCACCAGAGTCTTAAACTGGATGCGGGCTCTTACAGGGAGCCAGTGTAGAGAACGGAAGTTGTGTGGGAGAACTTGGGGTGATGGGTGATTGAACACTGGACGAGCTGCAGCTTTCTGGACAAGCTCTAGAGGTCTACCGGCAAGTAGTGAGTTGCAGTAGTCCAGGCGTGATATGACAAGAGCCTGGATGAGCACCTGCACCGTCTCGTCAGTGAGGAAGGCGCGAATCCTCCTGATGTTGTAGAGCAGGAGCGTGTCACCCATGCAATGTTTGCTGAGAATGACAGTTGGTCATCCAGGGTCACACCCAGATTCCTCGCAGTCAGAGTTGGCTTCACCACGGTATCATCAATGGTGATGGACAGGTCTTGGTGCGGGCAACCCTTCCCTGGGAGGAACAGTAGTTCGGTTTTGTCCAGGTTGAGCTTCAGGTGGTGAGTCGCCATCCACTTTGAGATGTCAGCCAGGCACGCAGCGATGCGTACCTCCACTTGAGTGTCACCGGGGGGAAATGACAAGACCAGCTGGGTGTCGTCGGCATAACAATGGTGCGAGAAGTCATGTGAGCAAATAACAGAACCCAGAGATGTTGTGTAGAGTGAGAAGAGAAGGGGGCCCAGAACTGAACCTTGTAGTCTGCATGTGGTCTTACCCCGTAGTCTGCATGCGTGGTTCCGACACGGCCCCCCTCCATGTCACCTGGTAGGATCGACCTGTCAGGTAGGATGCAAACAGGGAGAATGCAGACCCTGAGACGCCCATCCCCTCAAGGGTGTAGAAGAGGATCTGGTGGTTCACCGTGTCAAACGCCGCAGACAGGTCCAGGAGAATCCAGCCTTTGTTCGCCCTAGCCTTCATTTGCCTGATGCTTCAAACCACCAGTAGTGGTTAAGTACAGCTACCTACTGATTGCTCATTGTCTGCCAGGAGTGGAAGCCACACCTCTCCCACTTCACAGAGCAATTGGCCAGGTGAAACTCTAATCACACACATAAAGAATGCAAACAGTACTAATCACTGAACCAGCCCAGGTACAGCTAAAAGAAAACTTGTTAAAGCTAGAATAATATAATTACAGTACATCCACACTACTCCGTTTCTATTTGGATATGGAGTTCTGAAATAGAAATGATCTCCGTCCACACGGGCGTTTCAGCATCGTTTTCGAATTGATCTGCATCCACGCGGCAACCTTCAAACGGATATCACGTGACCATGTAAACACGAAGTAGATTGGTTGCTTAGTAAAAAAAAAATACGGGAGTAATAAAGTAGTCTTTAATAATGAAAGGTTGTGTTTGATACTTAAGATCTTCCTCTAAAATATTCCTCCATAAACTCAAACACAGTTCGTGGAAAGTTTTAGAGGTTTTATTTTTCAGACTTAGTTACAGCGCTGCGGTTCTTTCTCCATCTTTTTCTCTCACACATCAAATTTACTTTAAAATCAACACTTCCACGTAAACGTTTACTATATTATGGGTCCATAAATGTGGTCAACACACATCTCACTTGTTTCCTCGTTGTCTGTTCTCACTCGTAGCTCTGCTGGTGGCTTAGCTATCTGTCCTACTGGATAGCATCTACTGCTAACCGTGGCTTCAGAAGGCCGCTCCGTAGGGCTGATAACTCCGCTGGTCACGCCGCTCGCTCCAATAACAGCTGCTTCCTCCACAGAAATGTAGACTTTAACTGGTAAAGACAAGGTCAGTAACACCTGCAATCAGTTGTCCATGTTGAATTAACCTGGTAGTCGATCGGTAATCAATGTTCGTGAGCTTCAGGGTAAGGGTCACGTGATAGGCATGTGACGAATCAGGGAAGGATACGTCCTGACTGCTAAGAACCAATCAAGTAGCGAACGTGCGTGTGGGCGTCATCGTTTCTGAATGTATCCGGTTTCGTCCGTCCACACGAAAACACAACCCCGGAGTTTTCAAACTCCTGCGTTTACGGTGCTCTAAAACTCTGGCGTAGTGTGGACGCTCAGTGTAAACGTAGCAAAACATGCATTTCCAAACAAAAACGGAGTAATGTGGACATGGCCTTAACCCATTCTAGTTGAGTCTAGTATCCCTCCAGAAGCCAAAAACCTTCCTCAGACCGAGGCAGTGGTGATGCTGTTGCAATGATGTTCCTGTGTACGTTTGTTATTAATGATATCCAGTCTTTAAAACAGGCTGCATTGTGTTCCCAACGTCCCATGTTCCCAAGATCTATATGGAACATAACGAGAACTTGACAAAGGGTCCAATGTTCCCAGGTTTATAAGTTCCTCTGCTCTATAAAGCACATAATAGGGAACCTCAAAAGACGTTCCCCAGCTCCATATTCACTTAATATGACATGGGCTGTTGTGGAACACGGCCAATTTCTGACAGACTCATGAGGCCAACATTATCTGAATTACCTAGCAAAATTGTTATTTGAGGATAATAGTGAAGTATAAGAACTGTGAGGTTGAGAGAAGAGACATTGGGAAGTTTATTTTAAAACATGAGGGTTAGGTCAGTGTCACAGCTACAGTTTAGTTCATGTTTTGGTCACCAGATAAAGGGAAATAGAAACACCCATCATGAGAAGCACTTGTACGACTGACCGCATGGGCTCATAATCTAGTCATAGTTCTACTACATCGAGCCTAAGAAGTCCTCTTTATCCACTATTAACCCATGTTACCTCACCACTATTATAAGGATTATAAATGCACGAAAAGGATTGTTTGTAGCGTTTGTCTCTATCCTGTTGTGTAATATTCAAATAGTTCTTATCTCACCATTTCCTTTTTTTCAAACCCCAAGTTTCACCTTCAGTTTCATGTGTAAAAACTTTCATTAGAATTGAGATAATTTCTGTAACATCCGTCTTTTTAGAAATAATGTTCTGCATCAGAAGACTCTTCTCCTTCATGACCAACATAACACTCACAGATAGTGTTCCAAACACTTTATTGCAGCCGTAGATGCTCATAGTAAGTCATGATTGCTTTGGTTGCGCTCACTGAGAGTATGGTTACCCCCAAAAAGCCTATTGATCCGGCCACAATAGAGATCATAGTCATGTGCTCTGCCCCTGCAAAGAGATGCACACAGGTCAGTTCATTAACTGTGTAACCAGAGTGCATGTACACACCTCACACTGAACATTAGACTTGATAGTGAAAAACACATTTCAAACAAAACTGTATGAGAGATATTTCAGGGTTCATCAGTGTACATTACTTCAATCTTTTCAATTTAGTGAAAAACAGATTCCAACTTGTCAAAAAGATACAAAACAAAATTAAAAAGCATTGTTTGTAGCATAAACATTGTAACATACATATTATGAAATAACAAAAAATATAGCTACAGATGCAGGATGATGTGATCATGTGACATGCACTCACAGTCAGATGGTGGGACTCCTGACACCCCTCTCCTGTTGATGACCACCAGAGGTCCAGCTGACACAACAGCAGCTCGTCTCCCCTCTCTGCCCGTCCGGCTCAATGACCTCTTAGGGCGCTGCTGGCTGGTGCATTTCTTGTGCAAAATAAGGCTCAGTTGGTGACTTTCACTCCTCGACATTTGTCATTATGACACGTTCTCACAGCAGTGTTTGTCTATCAAACCAGTTTAGAAATGTTTACACAGCGGCCCATCTCTATTTCACAGCTTAATTTAACAGATAATGATTTCCCTATCACAGTTACCCAACAGTAGCCTGTATGAAACAGTTGAATAGCTCCACCTTGACCAACTAAAACAGTAAATTGTTACTTACACATTGTAATGGAGTATCATTACATTGCAGTATTGCTACTTCCACCACTGATCAAAGCCTCAAGTCAGGGAAGGAAAGTCTCCCAATTGCAGTTAATGCCACAGATTACAGGAAAGTCTGTAACTTGATTGGCTGCAGCCTTAAATTCTGAAAGATTTCCATTGATGAGTATGTGTGGCTGTTCTGTTGAAAGGTAACCTTTAAAGACTCCTTTAAGATAGCAGCACCAGCATCAACGGGACACGTTTTGGGCAACATCATGGACCGAGGAAGGTGACCATTAGATGGCATAGACCAGTAGCTAGAATAGACCAGTAACCAGTAATTGGTCCAAAACATTAGCCGGTCTACCTCAGACCCTTCAGTTTACCTTTGAACAGTCCTCGACATGTCCACATACGTTGGCCTGGCAGTGGATGTAGAGGGGCAGCCCTTTGGGCATGGTGAACATCTGAATGGAAAATCTGCTCGTCTGTGCCCGGCCGTTAACAGAGAGCCAGTGGAACGTGTTGTCAACGGCACAGCTGGGGACAAGAGAGGATGACGTTCAGTATCGTTATCATCCAAGGCAGCTAAGGTGGTTCAGATATATGAAATACTATCGTTAACGTACAACAGCATCAATAAAGGAAACTATCTACGCACTGAACTTAGACAGGGTGATATGCCCAGAATTTTCTATCCTGATATACATAGGTAATTTCATATCTTGAGAACAATATACATTACGGTATGTTTTCTGGTAAGTCGATACCGAAGTAAATAAATAGTCTATATGAAATAACCACAATCCTCTTGTGTGAATTAAATACTTGACAAATAAAAAGCATTTTTCAGTGCAACTTCAGTGCAAAATAAGCAGATTTTCAGAGAAATTTTAAGTAGTTTGTGCTTGAATAACAATAACTAATCATGAATTATCGTTCGGCACTAAACCAAGACAACAGTGACATTTTTCCACCCACCCATCCTTAAGAAGAACACCCTGGACTGCGTCCTGTGGGTCGGTGCTCTCAGTGGCCCAGCATGACTCCACCTGCAGCAGCACATCTGACGCAAAGGAGTTGTTGGTCTGCAGGGTCACCTGGAAGAACAGGGTGTCCTCAAGCTCCATGGTTACAGCATCCCTGTAGCTGAAGGTGAAGGACTCATCGGTGTGCAGGGTCATGGTTAGGCCCAGCTGCAGTGAAGAGTTGAACTCCACCAGGGAAATGGACGAGAGCCTACGACGACAGAAAGAATGTGTTCTGGTTGTTTCCGTCCGTCATACATTAAATTCAGGCAAAGAGACAGAATGCGAGGACGTTCGTCTCACCACTCCATGTCCACACTGACTTGAGCGTTGCGAACATAGTTTCGTGGGTAGACACACTTCCAGACGACTTTTAGATCCCGCCTGCTAATGGTTTGCTCTCTGGTCAAGGTCACAGCCAGATTGTTTTGCAATTCGATGTGGGTTTTGTTCACCTGGACACACACACACACACACACGTTGGCTGCTCTTTACAGTTTCAGCACTTCATTATCCAGATATGTTGTTATGGGAAGACAAACTTCCCACGACTCTGAACTCAATTTTTGTTTAGTGGCTTCTGGGGTTGGTGTTTTTTTTGTTTTTAAAGAGACAAAAAGCACAAAAGGGTTAAAAATGTATGCCATGTCCAATTTTCTCTGGGGGTCTCACCAACTTGCTGCAGTTTAGGGAACATGTAGTTTGCTGAACTTCCAAATGGTCACTCAGTAACCATACCTGGTATGTGAAAATAAGCTTTTTGGGGTAAACAGGGCAAATCTATGGCTTCTTAATTACTCATGATTCAAGGCTCTTCTCATTGTATCTGTATTTATGTTATCGTTACTTCAAGTAGTAAGTGCTGCCCTGCATGTCGCTGCACAGAATCTGTCACTTACCCGCCTCCGAGTTCCACATTTGGAGGCTTTTCGTGAGGTGCGGAAGTAGTAGAACACCTCACTCTCATCCACAGTGCACCGCCCATCGTTCAGCCTCACGTCAACCTCTCCCCCGATGTAAGAAGTCAGGTAGGGCTTTGCTATTCCACCGGTCACCATTCTATCCAGACACTGGCTGAAAAGGCCTTTTTCTGCCAGAGGCCAAAAAAAAACAAAAAAACAAAAAAACAAAAAAAAAAAAAAAACGCAATTGTTTAAGGCGATGATAACACAGAAGTAGAAGTGTTTGTTTTTAAAAAGCAACAGAAGAAACTTAACTGAATGCTAAAGCCACAGTGTCCACCAGATGCTGGCTTCTGAAGAACAGTTTATTTAGACAGAAGTTGGGAGCTTTCCCAGTTACTTTCAAACAAAGTCAAATACTTTATCAGGGACACAATGGAGCTGTTTTCAGAGCACCCTTATCATTACTCTTGATTAATGGACGAAACAATTACCACCAAGAAGATACGAAGCAATTTTTAAATATTTTCTTAATTGGCAGTAGCCCCAACCAATCACAGTCACCCTGATTTCTGAACTCCTAACAGGCTGTAAACCCAAAGAAAAAGTCACTGTGGTTAACTTATTGTTGACTGCAGAACATTTGCTAAACGTGGCAAATGTTCTGCAGTGCTCATAATAAAGAAGTGTCAGTATTGTATTCCTGAGGACCAAATGTACAGGATAGAATTCATCCTTTAACTGAATTAATATAAATAGAACTGAATTTCCACCCATTTAAAAAGGTAGCGTGTATTTCTTTGGATAAGATATGCAACTTTAAAAAGTTTACCGTTGCAGACTGGATATGAAGCTGCAGGAGGCTCGATAAAGGAGCTAACGTCGTAGTAGCCATGTTGGCACACGCAGGTGTAGGAGCCCAGAGTGTTGATGCACAGAGAGTTACGAGGACACAAAGTTCGCCTGGAGGAAGCACACAGATCTGGACCTGACAAACAGTCGAGGCAAATAAGATTAAAGTAAAGAGTCTTAGTTTGAAGTCTATCACATACTTCAACCAGTCAAGCTGGTTGTTCGCCATCACCTACCCTTCCAGTGAATGACCCCATCTGTGACCGTTATGTTGTCAATCTTCAGGGAGTGAATGTAATCCAGCTGATCCTCAACAGACAGGGGCACGTCTCCTTCAGTTTGGGATGCATCAAAAGACATAAACAGAATCTCTGTTTTATCTGGCTCGTCTGCAGACTCAAAGGAGGCCAGCTCAACGCGGGCTGGCTGACTAAAGTCTTTCAACAGCTCCTGCATCTGAATGAAACAAAAACAATTCAATGAACATTTTTGTCAGTCTAAAGGTCTTTACACAGCAGGGGCGTAAAGAATAAACAAAATGAAAATGCGATGTAGTCGCTTGTGAATAATTCTCATGAAATCTAGTCATACTGGCAGTGATACAAATTTTGCAACAGTTGCAGCAGAGGATCAATTACCAGGATCCTATTGACCAGAGCATCATCTGTTTCCTTTTAGAGAAAGGCATGCAGGTGAATTTTACTTACGCAGTGTATATGTCTAGTGCTTTTATTGTGAAAGGTGAGAACAGAAGTGAATTTGTTCTGCGCTGCCTTTGTAAGGGTTTAAGGAGTAATACAGTTTGCCGTCTTGGTTTGGCCTATAGAGCCTCCATGTTGTTCTACACTGCAATGTATATTTTTGAACATCAGTTTTTGCCCAATGTGACTGGTTGATGCCTTTATTCGAGGTGCTAAAACTCACCAAAACTTGCTTGGAAAAAGATTACTGCTTTTTCCGTGCATAATATTTGTGTTTTGTGATAAAGTATTAGCAAAAACAACACTTCAAAATAAATATATATTGACGTGAGATTTAATTTGTACGAAAAATACAGCCCCGGTGGGTAAAGGCCTAAGCACGGCCTCTGGCGGTCAGGAAGGAAACAGAAAAAATGTTTTCTCTCACCTTATCTTTGTAAATCTTCTCCATTTTAGCTCTTGGTTCAGACGCGTGATCCTGTAGATCCTCAGGCAGGGACCAGGGCATGACCATTGTGAGACCCAGAAGGGAGAAATCAAACTGCAGAACTACAGAAGCCACAAAAATGTAGAACACATTGGGTTATATTTATCATGGAAGGTAGTTCACAATCAAATCAAGGATATCAACCAAAAACCTCACACAACGACAGCAGTCGTGTTGGACCAATGGTACCTCAGACTGACCTTCGTCCAGAACATGTCCAGCAGCCCTCATATGGAGCTCGAAGGAGGTATTTGATCCCTCAAAACCCACGTGGGAATGTTTCGACTCCCACTGTCCGTCACATTCCTCCCACACGTCGAGCACGTAGGTCTTCCCTTCCTCCAGCCCCAGGAGACGCAGCTCTGGGTCGGTCACGCGGCTGCTCTGCACGGTGGTGCCGTTCTCCAGAGACAGCTCATATAAAAAGGCCACAGCTGGCTGGTGGGTGGTGTGTGGCATCCACTGGGCGGTGGAGTCGTTCGAGCGATATCTGAGCTCAGACACACCGTGAGGTCCTGGATGCACACCGTATCGGGTTATACATGAACAGTGATAGATAATGGGTTTATGGTCTACAAAAACACTGACAAAAAGAGATTCAACAACACAATAATTAAAAGTTGCTGTGAAAAACATGAGAAGCTAATAAGTGACAAATGTCACTGATCATTTTCCTAATAAAGAGCAAATCAAATGAAAATGGGAGGAGTAACTATTCCTTTTTGTGCCAATACCCAAGATGCTAATTATACAAAACATTTTTAGCCAAACAAATGTTACAATTAACCTTCATTAGCTGAAAACAGTGAAAGGGTTAAAGTTGTAAGATGAAAACATGGACAACTCCCAGACTGAACAAACCCGTGGTAGCGACCTGTCAATCACAAGGAAGCCCCGCCCTAAAGTATATTCTGCTATATGGTAATTTTTACTCTAAATAGACCATAATTTACTAAATGAATGAACATCATGCTGTATTGAAGACTTGAAACTAGAGATTGAGACCATAAACTCATGTTTACTGAGGTAATAAATCAAGAGAGAAGTAGAGTCATTTTCTCATAGACTGTACAATCTGACTTCTTTTTGCAACCAGAGGTTGCCGTCCGACTAATATTCAAGATGTTTTTTAAGGTCACATATTCTTATTAAGAGTCCAACCAGTTATGTGAATATCTGTCACAGTACATATTACTTAACTTTCAAGTGCAGCGCTATACATGTGCTGGAGAAAAAAAAAAATCCTTAACACTACACAACACTGCATTTTTATAGTGGGTTTGACAGTAAAGTTGGAATATAAATCACTTTGTCCCCTGCTTAATGCATCTCATTGTCTTATAGTATTGATTGGTGCATCATACAAGACCCATATATGATGCATCAATCAAGTACAGAAGAATGAGTCATCTCTTTCATAGCACATGCAGATGTTTTGGGACGTGTGTAACACAGATGGACGAGCAAGGAATCCATCAGTAGCCATGGTGATGGATGTCTCCTGGTTATGGTGTAAAGTGGTGAGTGTCGCCACAGTTCTCTCTTTAACAATTTTTCTATTTTACTTTTTCTAGCAGTAACAATGTTTATTCTTGGATCATTTGTGAATACTGGATTCTGGTTCAAGATTGCATTGTTTGATGCATTTCATATCAGACATGATTCGTTCTTTCGATGGGAAATATTTAGTTGTATACTTTACTTCTGATTTTCCACTCGCCAACAAAAGCCCCACATCAGTGGCAAACCAGCGTTTCCGTTTGCAAAACTCCGCTTGAGCGCTATATGTGTTCAAAGACGCAAGTCGAGAAATTATGTAGCATGCATAACTAGCATGCTAAATATCTGGACGGGGAGTCTGTGAGGGAGCTACAGCCAATGAAAGTGCAGGAAACTGGTTGAGAAGAAACCTGGTGGAGAGGACGCCTGCAACAATAGCAACTTTACTGAATAAGTTGCCTTTGCAACACAGACAAAATGTGTTGTTGCACCACGGCTGTTGGATGTTTGCATGAATAAACAAAGACATAACACACTTTGTCCAGCTTTCTCTGGACAGATAAAGCAGTGCATGTTGGGTGGTCTTCTCATCAGTTCTCCCCATTACCTGTGTGTGCTGTGACCGTCTTGGTGCTCATGAGCACGTCGTCTCCACACAGTGCCTCCACCTTGGCCTGGTACTGTTGGCATGGCAGCAGCCCCCCCACGGTGACGCTGGTGATGAGCGTGGTGCCCTGCATCACTCCCTCGTGGTAGAGTCTGAACATGGAGATGGACGAGGTGTTCCTCACCTCCCAGCTCAGGGTGTAGTTGTCGGGGCCGAACGATGTCTGACGCAAGGCCTGGATGCTGGAGTGCGCTGAGGATCCGGGGGGGGGGGGGGGAATTATGTTAAGCACTATGTTCTTTTACAAAGATGAAGATAAAATCATCTTTCGGGGTGTTACAGGAGATGCTTGTTGTGCTCTCTCAAATATACATTTCCATATGCTACTCTTGTGTAAAATTCAGTGTATTCTTGCTGCTGCAATGACCATTTTTTCCCCCCAGAGGTGATCACTGACGTTTCACTTAGAACTTCTGCTCTTTCAAATGGGAGACCCATTCTTTGGTATTAAGTTGCAAGTGTCGCACACATTTGTGGCTTGTGGTCAGTTAACTGGCAGCTCTTTAAAGTCAGACTGTGCAACTTCTGCTGAGCAACCACAAGGTGGTGTTAAATGCTGCAACATAGTGAAGTACAAGAACAGAAGAGTCAGCAGAAGAGTTACATGGCAATATCAACAAACAATTTAGCAGTTACATTAGCAAACATTTGCCACCATAACCTCCCGGACCAAGGAAAGTTGTATCGGCAAACCCCCCCCCGTGTGTATTTGACTGAGGAATGGTGCGTTTGATTGCTCATATCATATTGCCTGTATATGGATAGAAAAAAAACAAAAAAAAAAAAAGACAAAACAAACGCATGATGACTGATCCCGTGCAGGGCTTACCAGAGTTTCCATCGTTCGGAACCATCTTGCTGTAGCGGGACTCCATCCCCGCCTGGCAAACCGTCTGCAGGCCAAACTGAACCCTTGTACAGGGCTCCAGGTCAGACAAGACGAACGCAAAGCTGTCCTTCAGCAAAAAGAGCACCTCCTCTGTGACGTGGTCCGCACCGTTGAGGTAGAAGGCGGTGAGGAGGAAGAAGGAGAACTTCTCAGGGCAGTCCCAGGCCAACGATATGCTGTTGCTGTTCCATGACTTCACCTCAAAGTCCTTGGGAAGGTCTGGGTCTGGTATGAGGGGAATAAACAATTGGCAAAGCATTTTAAACCTGTATTAACAGATATATGGCCACTTGGGGGCAGTGTAAACAAGCTGTGGACACAACACTTAAATAATATCACCTGAAAGTTTGGTAAATTGAACAGTTGCATAATCTAGCAAATACAGCACAACATTAGCATTCATTTTGAGTCGTGTGTCTGGCCACTTGATGAATGGAAGCCCTTGAAGCCATTTTCAACCAGCTTCTGAGAAAAATATCTGGCTTTTCAGCTGCCTAATGCACCACTTTGGTCACTATATTTGCTGTCCGTCATTAGGTTCTGAAACCGGCCTCAGAAAATTGATCGGAAATACTGATAGCAATATTTAATGGAAAATGCCATAAATCATCCGATTCCAGCTTCTCTAATGTAAAGATTTCCTCTTTCTTGCTCATATATAATAAACCCAATATCTATCCATCCATTTCCCCCCCCAATTCTATTGTAAATTTTAATATGTTTCTATTTCTTGCACTGTGTGTAATGGATTGTTTAATGTTAAGCACCACCCGCCATGACAAATTCCTTGTATGTGCAACATACATTAGCAATAAACAGTTCTGGTTCCAATCTTTGAGTTTAGAATTGTTTGCACCAACAAGCATTAAGAAAAAATAAATAAACAAACTTCTTTAGCTCTGGAAACTTTTATATGATCTTTTTAATTTAATAATGGTTAGTAGCAGCCTAATCTCAAGTGTTTCTGCATTCATGTGCAGATTCTGGCAATAAGACAAGATTTTAGTATCAAAGGGCATTCTGGTTTACATTTCTATTCAGAGTGGTATTGACCAATCACGTTGGAACAGGCTTTGATCGAATGTGGGTAAACAGTCCATGTAAAGAGCATAAGACATGGAACGCGATGGCCGAAATGTAAAAAACAGGAACCCACCAACCTACCTTTGGACAGTGATTTAGCTTTTTATTGGTTTAAAATTAGCTTGTAAACTGGCTTATTGTGAGACAATCCGGTCGGACACGTCGTCTCTCAACACAAAACCCAGTCTTGTATCTCAAGTTGGTAATCGGACTGTAAACAAAGAGCAGCGCAGAACCCCAGAACATTATCCTTCATCAGACCCATAGCTGATTATTTAGTAAAAATCTCACTGTGTAAACATTTCGTGAAAGTACCAACAGCCAACCCTCAATATCGTCGCATTGATATTTGGTAAAAAAACAACATAGAAATATTTGATTTTGTCCATATCGCCTGGCCCTATGTGCATGACTAAATACCAAAAGAGTTAAGAGAAACATACGTTTGCATTTTGTAATCTGTGCGTCGTTTTTTTTTTTCCACCAAATGTCTGCTCATCGATCCAACCACGAAACCTTACCGGTAATAGTAGAGAGGCAAGTGAGGGAGCGAGTGCCTGCAGTCTCCACACAGGGCACATAGGCACTGCAGGCGTCCAGAGCTGTGAAGCGGTAGTGGTTGTTGGTGGTGAAGTCCGTGCTGAGTGTGTTAAAGGAGCCCAGTTCAGTGTAGTACAGGGTCACGGTGTGGCTGCTGCTGCTGACCGCTGGGCGGTTCTCTACCCACGAGACCAGCAACATGGAGGGAGTCCTGGACTCCAGCTTGACAGGGAGACGCATAGTGTGGCCTATGAGCAAAATCAGAGTTAGATAAAGAAAAATAGTATAAAGCATAACAAAAAAATCCTAAATGATGAACACATTTACTCTCATAAAAGTGCTCGGTAAACTTCACTGCCTTGACATATTGGAGTGCAGCACTAGAGTAAAGGTCATTTGTCTGGAAACTGTGGAATCAGTTTCTGTACCATCAGTCTGGTCAGTAGGTGCTCTAATATCTTTTTCTGGACAGCCTAATAAAAAGAACACACATCACCATCCTTGAACCCGTTAAGTAACATAAACAGAAGGCGAGAGACCTTCAATGACCTGAAGGAATAGTTTGAAATTTTGGGAATTAAGCTTCTTCGCATTCTCACTAAGAATTAGAAGAGAGGATCAATATCCATCTCATGTCTACCAGTTTAATATGTAGCTAAAGTCAGCATAAGCTAATGTATAATAAAAAAATAAAAATAAAAAAATAAAAAAGGCAGATTTTGCTACTTTTGGACAGAGCCAGGCTAGCTGTTTCCCAACCATTTGCAGTCTATACTATGCTAAGCTGCAGCAGCCACTGTGGCTGCTGCAGCTTAGAACCGAATCCGCACATCGTCTGCCCGGCTTAACCTAACCTCTGACCAAAGTCTGCGATAAAAGCAATGTTAACCCGGAGTCAAAACCAGATTATCCCCTTTAAGAACCAAAAGCCAAGTCCATATATAAATAAATAAAACAAGAATACACATCAAATTCACCCAAACAGATAATCTCACCAATCGCAAGGAAGAAGTTTTCATCCTGGTGGAAGAATAATGTTCCATTTTCACATGCAAACACCTCTGTGGGACTCATCAAGTCCAAGAAGCCCTGAAAAGAGAACATCAAAGTAGGCAAAAGAGAGATGGACTGCACCTGTAGTTTGATCTGTTCCATCAGAATTACCTTAGTGGCATTTGTTGTTTGCTCAACGGGTTTCTGCCGGCCTCTGACTTTAGTGTACTTAGTACCTTAGATGAACACATTTAATCAAACATTTAATAACTACTGATTATTTGTGGATAAAAGCATGATTCCAAGTTAAAAGATGCTTACGCGGGGTGATACTTAAAGTCCATGCTTGAACAGAGCCTCCATACTGCAGTGTTAGCTTGTTATCTACAGCTGGGGGCACAGTCAGGGAGGTAACTTTACCCTCCTTCCTGATGGATTTTAGTGCCGTATCGTTGAGCCATATGTTCCCATTCTGCCTACAAAGATGGAAAATAATGAAGCCTTGGTACAGTCTCATTTCCCCCCTTAAAGAGAAGGTCATTCCAAGTCATATCTATAGATCTGCTCATCACCACATGGACACACCTTGTAAAACTTAAATAGTGATATATTTCACCTTACCAGCCACTCTTCAATTTAATATCCATCTGATACACTAGGTCAGCTTGTCCAAGGTGCATTTTTTGGCCAAAACTATGTGGACACCCCATACACTTGTGTACTTTGGGTCTGGGGGTTTTCATGGCTCTCAGCTGGGTCCCTTAGTTCCAATTAGGGTAAATATTGATGAAACAGCACAAAATGAATTCCAGACAATAGTGCGCTTCCACCTTTGTGGCAACAATTTGGGGTTAGTCCATTTCCAGTTTCAACATGCATGCGCCCCAGTGCACAACTGGAGACCCATAAAGAAATAGCTTTGGTGGGGAAGAACTTGACTTACTGACCAACAAGCACAGATCTCACACTCGACTGGAACCCAACCTCGAGCCAGACCAGATCACAACATCAGCGCTGGACCCCTCTAACACACTTGTAGCTGAAGGGGAACACAACCCTGTTGCCAGGTTCCCAAATCTGGTAGAAAGCCTTCCTAGAGGAGCGGAGGCTGTTCAGGCTGCAGATCAGCGGATGGTTTTGGAATGGCATGTTCAACAGTCCACATACTTTTGGCCACCTCCAAACAAATAAAGAAAAATGTAATTTCATAGAAGGAGAGTCTGTGTTAAAATCGAGATCTGGTTCTATGACAGCTGTTATAATTTGTCTAATACTACAGATTAAAATATTGAATATAAAATGATTCATAGAATCTCAAGTAATGTTATATCATATGTCTAAACTTGCCGATTAGGAGAGAAAACAGAAAATTTTGTTTTTGTAAATTTTGGCGTGAGTTTCCCTTCAAACAACAGCAAACGCAACATCAAGCGTTGTGTTAAATACTAAAGACTGCACGTGTCCAAAGCGTGCTTTTCTTGACTTTACCTCTCCAGAGCATCGCCCTTATTCATCCAGCAGATTGAGAAGGATATGTCGTCGCAACGTCCTACAGGGAGAATCAATTGAAATACTTCCAAATGTAACAAAATCTGGTTGATCTAAACTCAGTCATGTGTCGGGATGCTACTCACCAAACGATATAGTATGAGGCACCAGTATGAAAACGATGAACGACAACTGTAGGGAGTTCCTGAAAATATAAAATTAGATTAATCTGCTGAATCCGAGAGACAAGTGATATCAAACCGATTGTGGACACTTGTTTTTTTCTTCTTACATTGTCTTTGTGATTCCAGCAAGGCCAAGCCTGTGTTTAAAGTGAGCGCTGGCTGGAAAATGCACGCTCCTAATGAGTCTCAGGTGTGCGCTGCCTTCACGCACCTGCTCAGATTCAGTTCCTAACAATATGGACACCCTTTGTATCATACATGTTTAAAAGCAACACTTTTCATTTCAAACGTCATTTCACAAGGTAACGTTACAGTAGGAAATTATATTTTGTTGTGATCAACAACTCATGTCTGTTCTATTTCAAACAGGCGTTATTTTGTTCAGATGTGGAACGACTTTGCTATAATTTGACTTTGAACATTGCACATTGTTACTTTCAAGCACGTCAGTCGAGAAAGAAACACGACGGTATAAACTTGATTTTTTTTTTAAATATCAGACAAAGTCCTTGTTGCAAACATACAATGCCCGTTAGCTTTACAAAAAATATATTTAATTTTAAATTGAAATATTCTACAAGAAAGAAAGAAAATGAAACAGTACATTAACAGTGATTCAGATTCAGACAAATTTATTGATAATAACACATTTAATTTGCTCTATTACTAACATTATGTTATTTCTTTACACAACTATAAACACAACATTGCTGAAGCTGTCACTATAACTTCTTTTGAATCAAGGCTGAAGACTTTTCTGTTTGCCGCTGCCTTTTATGAAATAATTTCTTCCAATACACTGTAACTTTTGTTCTTTTTACCTGTCTTATTCTATTTGGCTTGTTTTAGTTTTCTATGCTCTTGGCTCTTTAATGACTGATTTAATTAATGACTTTATTTATATGTTTTTTTATAGTGTTTCTTTTTCACTTTGCTTTTAATCTTTCATGTAAAGCGCTTTGAATTGCATTGTTGTGGAAATTTGCAATATTAATAAACTTGCCTTGTAATTGCAGAATATAAACTCCTCCACGGGCTGTTAAATCCCCCCAAGAAACAAACACAGTTCTTAAAGGCCTATCTAATGAAAATAAGAAAACTCTGGAGGACAACATATGTGATAAAAACTGCAAGCCAGTGTTCTGAAACCTTTACAGCTTGTGGCCCCTTAAAATAAAGCAACATGTTCTGGTGTCCTGTAATAACCTGGTACGGTTTTAGTGTGGATATGAGTGAGCTGGTGGCTTGATTTATTTGAAGGTTTTCTACAGCCTTAATAAGTAAATGTATTCAGTATTTAATAAGAAAACAGCAATAAAACAAAGAAAACATTTTCATTATGTGAAAATAAACATAATTTTGTGACATTATTGTGCTCCCTATCATGACGCTTCATAATTTTTTCTGATGTATTCAATTAAATGTCAGTAACTGATAAATCTGAATAAATAAATGATTTACAAACTGTAACAACAATTATTCCTTAATGATGCCCGCTGTGTCCCCATTCACCTTCTGTGTGTCACTCTGTGATGACATTAAGCAAAGGGAAGACGACTTGTCCTCTATTAGTGGCCTCGCATCACAGCAGCCGTGTCTACTGGAAGCCACTCAGCAGTCAGACAGAGCAGCCTTTGTCTGATAAATCTTAACAAGCACTACAGCTAAATTGGAGTCACAAGTATGTACAGTCTGTAGAGAGTTTGAGGCTGCAGGCTTGTGGGGGGCTGCGACTGTTTCTTCCTCTGCTGGACCATAAGTCAAGTCAAATCATGATCTGAGCAGCAGGTTCTGGGGAAGAGTCTTCCAACGCAATATGGAGAGCTGGCACTGTTTGCTGCTGTGCATGCTAAGTTTGGCGCTGGCCCCCGGAGAGGCAACAAAAAATGATGATGACATCGACCTTGTCAGCTTCCTGAGAAGCATCTACCCCGGGCTGCTGGTGAGAGACGAGCCGTTCATCGTCAACAAAGAATTTGAGATAAACTCCCTCAAGGAGCTGGGACGGCCTGTGTTCCGCTCAATCACAGAGCAAAGCAAGGTCAAGCCAGTCAATCAGGAAACAAATGGGGCTCCTGGACCAGTAGTGGTGACCAAAGACGGCCAGATCAAGGGGATTACGGTGGACAGGGCCAATATATTCTATGGGATACCATATGCAGACCCCCCTGTTGGGGCTTACCGCTGGAAGCCCCCCAGACCTGCGAGTCCTCGGCCAGGGGTTTATGATGCCTCCTTCCCCAGGGCATCATGCATGCAGGCCTGCAGCGGACCCATCACTGAGGAGTGTCCTCGGATAGTAAGGAACACTGCAACTTTTCACTTAATTGCATGTTGTCGTAATATTGAACTTTAGGATGATAACATGCTTGCATTTGTGGTAAAGGTGACAGTTGTACTAAGGGGAGAGAGAAGGCCCCTCGTGCTCTGAAAACCCATTCAAGTTTTGGAGATGTATCAAATATATTGTGTACATTGGTTAATGATGGACGGAACTAAAGAGCCACCACTGTTTCTGAGAGTATGAGTTAAAACATGGATGTCATATAAGGACTCATTTTTGGACTCCAAGATGGCACACATTCATTCCCATCGCAGTTGCACACCCAGTTCATGCCACAATAGTGTTTCTCTCTGTCTGATTTGCTTCCACATTGTGAGGAGGGCTGTAGGGTCCACAAGTCCAGGTTCCCCCAATACATGAAAAACGTCTATAATCCGCATGATTTGTATTAAGGATTACAGGTCTATTGTGAAAGAAATACTGAATATTTCAATTATTATTTGTTGGCCTAATAGTAGTTGAATTTAAATATAATCTAAAAATACTCAACTCAGCGTGTAACATATCTACAATAAGAATAACTACAAATGTGTCAAAAAACAGTCCCACAATGTCTACAACACCATTTACATACCATAGATTAGCCTAATTTAAAAGGAGCTATACACTGTATCTGGTTTTACTTATTAAGAAACTGCTACCGATGAAGTAGCAAATTGAAGTTGGAAGAGGTTTTCTTATTGGGCAGGTGATTGAGCACAGGTGAAGTGAATGAAAGCAATCAGGAGACACTCAGACACAGGAGGGAGCCGGGAGGAGACCAGGGGCGGAGCCACACAGACACAGAGACACAGGAACACAGGGGGCAAAGCCTAAACCGTGACACTAACATGCCCTTAAAGGCACGCGCGGTCAACCCAGCTATGTAAACACAGCAAATAGTTGTTAGCTGCTATATTAATGCGCTAAAAGTCGTTTAAATAACCATTAATTTGACAATTTACATCATAACTAAGGAATATTTGTAGTCCCGGAACAGCAAGTTAAAGCTAGCACTAAATTAAATGTTGAAAAAAAATATTGAATATTTCCTCTAATGTCCCAAACAGGTCAGTGAGGACTGCCTCTACCTCAACATCTTCGTCCCTCTGAATGTGGAATTCAGCTCCCCGCTAGGGACCCCACTGCCCGTCATAGTGTGGATCCATGGTGGGGATTTCATTGCTGGCTCTGCCTCCAAGCCGCTGTACGACGGACGCTTCATCAGTAACTTCACCCAAACCGTTGTTGTGAACCTGGAGTACCGACTGGGTATGAAAGTTTGGCGTCATTTTCACTTTTATTGGCCCTGTTCTACTGTAACATGTGTGTTAGCATTGTTACATATTCACTTTATACATTATCAATATGTATATGAATCTATGTAGAAAATATATACTGTATACACAATAATATTGATATCTGTGTATTTACCAGAATTCTATCTTTTTCTAAATTGGATGTGCAGGGATAAAGGAAGGATGACTTGTAGCACTGGAGTTGGCCTGGTACAGGCAACAAGCAGGCATCACGTGGTAGACATTAATTATGTGTGTGTGTGCGCGTGAGACAGTATGAGACTGGCTAATGTGTGCGTGTCATCATTTTAAATGAGCGAGCCGGTTGCCGAAAACAACAGAAGAGATATGTGGACGGTAATTCGGAGCTCAGAGGAAATGAATGTCTTGCTGGATTCAATTATGTCTGATCATGTGAATTTGTGCTTGACTTAAAGGTGCTTTTGGGTTCCTCGTGTCGGGCAAAGACCCTCACTCCTCGGCTGCAGGGAATTATGGGATCTTGGATCAGCAGGCGGCTCTTCTTTGGGTCCAGCGGAACATTGCAGTGTTTGGAGGTGATCCCGGCAAGGCAAGCTAGCACAGCACAGCACACCTCCAAGGTTACAAGGTTATTTTATTGTCATTGTACAACAGGGTTGCATGACGGAATGGAGATTGTAGTCCCATTTTACTACACGACATTTTACACGAAAAAAATATTAAAATCTAAACTAAACCTGTATCATATGTGGAGGGTGGAGGATCAATTAAGGAGTCTCACAAACAGAGGAAAGAAGCTGTTCTGTAGTTCGGTGCTATACGGCAGCTGATACTTCTGTAAGCCTCTAATTATCTTAAGAACCTTAAAGAAAGAAAAACATCACTTTCTTTTGTGTTCTTTTTTAGACTGTCAAAATCTCCAGTAATAATTTGCTTAATCAACTTACATTTTGGGATTTCTGAGTAGCGAAGTTCAAAAACAGTCTTCCTTTTTAAAAGGTTACACTGAAAAAAAAGACTTTTTGGCCCTGTAATTATTACCTCGATTATTTTTGTAAATTTTACAAGAAATTATCATTCCAGTGCTTTTACTTTAAAACATCACCTTTTATTTAATGTGTTACTTGGTGTTTGTTTGTAATTATGTATCCTCATTTTTACAGTACATTTTAATCATTCACACTAAGTAATATCTACTAAACTACTGTATTGAATGCACTACCTGACACAACAAACTAAAATGTACTTGGGCAATACGAGTAAAACCTGGCAACCTATAGCGCGTACTCAGGGGGTGACGTCAGAGGAGATTTCGCGCTCCTTTCTTCAACGAGACGACGGAACAGCAGAACCTGAACAAGGCCGGCTGAGTTTCACCTGAGGAGAGGAAATTCATGGACGGGAGCCATTGGGGTAGGTTATATGTTTAATTAATGCTCTACGTTGCTGTTGAGCCTTCGGTCAAGTCTGTGTTTGAGTTGTGAACACTGAAGAGTAGCGAACTGGTCAGTTTAGCGTGCTAGCTAGTTAGGCTATCATGCTAGCTAACTTGGGACAGCATTACAGACATGGCTCACGGCGCTACATTTTGTGGACATG